AATGTGGCTGCCAGTGTAAATATCTGATGGAAACCTCTCACATGGAGTAGTTTGATCTCCAGCTGTAAGTAGATGTATATAAGATCTCATAATCGTAAGACTTCCATCGAGAACTCGCAGTAATGTATTATAGAAGGGTTCTTGAAGTATTGTTAACTGTTGTAAATGTAGATGAGCATGTAAGTATTTTCATGCTTGGGTTTTGTTGCTGTCGTCTTCTGTGTGTGTGCGGGGGTCTGTTTTGTCTGGGAAAATGAACTATTATCAGCATGGAGTTGCAGAATTGTAGCTGTGAATCCCCTGACTGAAACGTCTGATTCAGAATGTGCCTGCAATATTGTTCTGATGTGCTGTGTCTCTAATGACATTTGTGTAAAGTCACTCGATGACTAAATCAGTGTTCTTTATAAAGATTACTACAAAATACTCACGTTTCCTGTCATTTTTCATAGTCTGGGATTTTTAAATAAGCTGGAGGTCCATAATATTTGATTACTTGTGTTGCAGAACCCAGATTTGACAGTATTTACAGACATCAAGTGGTGACCCAAACCAAACTCTTTATTTCACAAAACAGTCTGAATAGAAAAATTTATAATTTTGTTTTCCAAATGAATATTGAATCGCAATGTTCTAAGCAATCAATAAAATTTAACCATTAAAATTTCATAGGCCTGTTTATTTAAATTAAAGATTTGATCATTAAAATAAAAATATAAGATAGTGTCAAAAAAGTTTCTCCTATAGCTTCATTTTTAAAGTGAATGTGTCTATTTTGTTACTGTAATTTCTTAAATTAGTAAAAAAAAAAAAAAAATTAGTAAATTTTATCTGATTACCTTTTAAGATGCAATAAGCCTGTGTATTTTGTTATTATAATTTGGTAAATCATCATGTATTAAATTAATAAAGGTATAAAATGTCAAAAATATAAAGCAGTTTCTCCTACAACTTTTGAAATGTAATAAACCTATTATAATTTGGTAAATTAATATATAATTTATAAAAAAATCATAAAGATATAAAAAGTCAAAAATACAAAACATTTTCTCATATAGATTTTAAAATGTAACAAACATGTATTTTATTATAATTTAATAAATTAAGAAAGATACAAAATATTAAACTTATCAAGTTCTTCTATACCTTTTGAAATTTAATAAGCCTATTTATGTTGTTACTTTACTTATGACTATGGCTGGTTGTGTTTTATTATTTGCATTTTATATTTTCCCCTCTGCTGTCCACGACCAGAACAGACCTGTGACCCAAAGACTCACCCTCTGAGAACCACTGAGCTTAATTATTGTAATGCTGCTTGCTGAATTTGAATGCTGTTAGCTGATTCAGCAGCTCTGAGATTTCTCTTGCTTTCTGAGAAATCTTTTTTGTAACTTTGGAGTGCAACTCAGCCCTCAAGTTGTTTGTACTGTGTTAAAGAAGATTAAGCAAACCAGACAATGTTTACAGGCACAACAGATGTGAATGAGGGAGTGGGGCAGGGGAGGAGGGAAGCATGAAAAGATGCAATGAAGCCAGGGATATATGAGTCAGAAAAGTGAAAAGAAAGGAAAGAAACAAGAGAAGCATTGTCCTTTTATGTGGGAAGTAGTTGCCCATTGTGAAGGGTCTGGGCTCAGTGGGTTTATGACACAAATTTTGCAGGCTAATGAAGGGGTGACCTGTGAATTCAAGATTTTAGTTGATCCAAAACCCTAGATTTTAAAGGGGTCATATGATGCAATTAAAAAAATTTTCCTTTCTCTTTGGAGTGTTACAAGCTCTTGGTGCATAAAGAAGATCTGTAAAGTTGCAAAGACTAAAGTCTCAAATCCAAAGAGATATTCTTTATAAAAGTTAAGATTCAACAACGCTAAAACGGCTCGTTCTAACACGCCCCCACATGTCTACGTCATGATGTGGGAAGATTTGCATAACGCCGCCCAAATGTTCACGCAAAGAAAGAAGGTGTAACTTTTATTCTCGCTGTAGTATTGTTGTTGCTGCCGCCGCCATGTCGTGAAGGAGCTGTGTGTTTCGTTGTGAAAGCTAAACTACTTTGTTTGGCCTTCCAACTGAGGACGATATCCGCTTCGTCATTCCTAGAGCTGATCCGTGCTGGTCGCTGAGGGAATACATCAACTTTGCGCTGTGGATCGCCAGATCGGCTTTCACCATGGACGAAGCGGATTCCAGCCCGGGGTCGTCACATGTGGTTGCCGCAAGCCTGCCAGCCGCTCCTTCGTCGAATCCGCCGGCCGTGCCGTTCTCAAGCCCGCCCGCTGCTGCTCACTCTAGGCCTCCACCATCCACTCACTCAAGCCCGCCGTGTGTTTCGTTGTGAAAGCGAAACTACTTTGTTTGGCCTTCCAAAAGAAGACACGACTAGAAATCAGTGGTTAAGTTGTATTTACAACACTGTTACAGAACACTTCAACCCAAATATTCAGATGTGTCCGGCGCATTTTATGGAGGACTGTTTCCTGATCCTGGTAGAGTAGACTTATAAAGTAAAAATTGATTTGCCTTAAATGTGTGTCTTTAAATGCATATCCCCAACTAATGTATGTTTCAAGATAGCCAGTACTATTACAGCTGTTTGACATTCTCCCATATTAAAGGGCCACTGGGCGTTTATAGTGTGTGTGCTTAGTGCTTTCCCATCAGGACCCTATGAAGAGATTTGCCTCGTGATTTAGGTGAAAATAAAAAGAAACATCATAGTTTCTCTTTGCTGCTGCTCACAAACTTTAGACTTTTTCTCTTTTCCTCATAAACCCCTAAAATGAGTATTGAAAGCTGAGTTATAGTGAATCAATAATGCATCTGCAGGGATTTCAGTGGCTTGGCATGCCTCGAGTGTGTGTGTGTACGTGTCCACATGAGCGTGTGATCTTTGTGTAGAGCATATTCAGAGGGCAGTGAAGTGTGGTGGCCAGCCAGTGGAAGGGGGCTGTTTAAAAGGTATCCATGGATACTGCCTTTCAAGGACATTTTTGAACAGTAGCATTGATGTGAACGAATACGGCCGTGAGCATTTTTACACATACACTCGCTCTCCTCCTGTTTATCTATTTTATACATATAAGCCAAAATATGGGCATTTATAATTGTGATATGAAATAGATCGGATTCAATCACTTCAAAGATGTGTATGAAAAAATACTTGAATCTTCTGAAATGCTAGGATTAAAGACCCTGTTTATGAACCCACTGGTTGCAAACTTCAGAAGCCCTGGAGGACGTCCCAAATCTCTGGTTTGTTTTTTCCACCCCATAAAACGGAGGCCCAGGTGGGAGGAGTCAAGAGCGAACTGCAGGACTGCACAGCTTAGTTTGAACTTGTTATGCAACGAGAACTGTGTGTGTATCTTGTTTGTTGACACATACACCACCAGTTTAAACCAGTTAAAAGTTTGGGATAATTCATTTTTTTTGTTTATGTTTTTGAAATAAGCTTCTTATGCTCATCAAGGCTCCATTTATTTGATAATTAGTACATTAAATAGAGTAATATTCAGAGATATCATTACAATTTAAAATAACATAATTTAAAATAAGTTCTTTTAAAATATATTTTTGGTAAAAGGTTCTATTGGCCAAGTACAGAACCCCAGGGTTCTATATAGAACCTCAAGGAACCCTTTTTTTTAAGAGTGTAGTTTGAACTTGTTATGCAACGAGAACTGTGTGTGTATCTTGTTTGTTGACATATACACCACCAGTTTAAACCAGTTAAAAGTTTGGGATAATTAATTTTTTTTGTTTATGTTTTTGAAATAAGCTTCTTATGCTCATCAAGGCTCCATTTATTTGATAATTAGTACATTAAATAGAGTAATATTCAGAGATATCATTACAATTTAAAATAACATAATTTAAAATAATTTCTTTTAAAATACAATTCATTCCTGTGATGGCAAAGCTGAATTTTCAGCAGTCATTACTCTTATTCTTCAGAAATCATTCTAATATGCTGATTTGGTAACATTTATTATTATTATCAAAGTTGGACTGCTTAATATTTTTGTGGAAACTGTGATACACTACTATTCAAATGTTTTGGGTAAGTGTGATTAAAAAAAATTAATTAATACTTCAGCATTGATAATATTATTAAGATTCTTTTTTTTTTTTAGTACCAAATCAGCATATTACAACGATTTCTGTAGGATCATGTTACACTGAAGACTAGCGGAAAAGCTCCTGAAAATTCAGCTTTGCCATCACAGCAATAAATTACATTTCAAAATATATTAAAATTGAAAAACTTTCTTTTAAATTGTACTAATATTTCATAATATTACTTATTTTTGAAAATAAGCCCTGATGAGTAGACTTCTTTCAAAAATTCTAAAAATTCTTAATTATTCCAACGTTTGTTTGGAATGCAATCACATGCATGAAGAAAGGAAACGTTTGTGGGTGCTTGATTGTGTGTACATGCAGGGAAAACTCATTCTAGATTGTGTGCATTCTTTCTGTGTGTGTCTGTGTGTATGGCAGCAAGTGTGATTAAAAAAAATTAATTAATACTTCAGCATTGATAATATTATTAAGATTCTTTTTTTTTTTTAGTACCAAATCAGCATATTACAACGATTTCTGTAGGATCATGTTACACTGAAGACTAGCGGAAAAGCTCCTGAAAATTCAGCTTTGCCATCACAGCAATAAATTACATTTCAAAATATATTAAAATTGAAAAACTTTCTTTTAAATTGTACTAATATTTCATAATATTACTTATTTTTGAAAATAAGCCCTGATGAGTAGACTTCTTTCAAAAACTCAAACAATTCTTAATTATTCCAACGTTTGTTTGGAATGCAATCACATGCATGAAGAAAGGAAACGTTTGTGGGTGCTTGATTGTGTGTACATGCAGGGAAAACTCATTCTAGATTGTGTGCATTCTTTCTGTGTGTGTCTGTGTGTATGGCAGTGAGGGCTGTTGATTTATGTGTGAGTTCTCTCATTGAGTTGAACAGAGCTCAGCAGCCCCTGATCTGAGCCCCATCTCTCCGCTCCATTTGCATTCACTGGCTAAAACTGGCTGGCAGGGCAACACTCTCAACTTTCTGTTCCAGGCTTTGAAGCGTTCCAAAACTTTTTAATTGACTTGGAGTGGAGGGGACAGAGAGAGAAAGGAGAGGAACAAGAGGAAGAAGAAAAAGATAAAGTACAACTAAAACCTTAGACTTCCACAGGAACAGGGGAACAGGTGGGCCAAGCTGAAATAAGCGGTGTCTTGAAGCTGGAGGCAGGTGAGTGGGAAGCAGAGATTAAGATAAAGAGGGCTGGAGAGATAAGATGAATGAATGGAGAAAAGGAAGTGAGGCTCAGAATGAAGTTGAGGAGAAAAGGCTGGGGAGGGGTTGATGTGTTTCAAACTTTTTTATGAATCATTGCCTTCATGCATTATCCCCGCACTGCATTCTCTTTATTGCTCTGTGTTCCCGTGGCTGTTTACGTAATACTGTGAAAGTACTCTATATTCATTGTGCGTGTGGGTTTTCAAGAGGGAGCAGTTTGATTGCGTTTTATTTCTTTATTGTTGACCAAAAATATTCTTTTTTTCCTTCCCTGGATGCAGAGATATTGGTAGTTATTAGTGAAATGTAGCACTGAGAGCTCATAGGTCTTGTATGATTGTTTTATCTGTGCAAAGAAGAAAATGGTGTTTTTAGCACACTTTTGTGTTCTTGGAGCACTATCAAGCCCTGCTCTCTTCAAATCGTAAAAATAAAAAAAGCTTGTCATGGAGTGTAAAATGCAGCGGCTTGCGGTTATGTCACTGTAAAGCTATTGTTTTATGGTCCATATGTTTTCTCAGCTGTGCCTAATTAAGGACTTTGGGGGGGGAAAAAGTAGTTTAAAAAATTTAAATTTATTAAATAAAGCAAGATGCTAAAAGTAAATCTGTTCAGTCTGGCACTTTTTATGTTAGCATAATATTGGGGAGAATATAAACTTGTTATTATCATTAGTTAGTTTTGGTAAAACTGCTCTGTTGTTCAAGAAGCCTATAGGGATGATATTAAAATTTCTAACCGATTCCGTTAAGGCAATAATGATATAACAACAACAACAGCAATAATAATAATAATAATAACATATATTTAATAATATATTTTTATTCTATTAGTAAATAATAATACTTATTATTATTAATAGTAGTATTAATCATTATATCAGATTATTATTATATAGAATTTATTATATTGTATTAGATTTTATTTTTGAATTGTAGTACTTCAACTTAATTTTATTTCAGTTAGTTTCTAATATTTAGTTATGTCTTAATATAGTTATATCTCATATTTATATGGCAACAAAACAATGTTTTAGTTGACAATAACAAAAATGTTTAGTGCAAAATAAAACAGTATAATAGCATTTTGTATAAACAAAGTAAAAATAAAATGCTGAAAACTAAAATCGATCATTTTAAATGCTACAGATTAATTGAAGCTGCACATCACAATGTACAGTATAAAAAAATGAGATTTGCTAATAATTGCATTTAACAATGTTATTATATTATTAACTTTTTTAAAGATTAACATTAAGTGACTGTTAGATTTGCATTGATGCATTTGGCAGGCGCTTTTATCCAAAGCAACTTTGCATTGCATTCAAAGTATACATTTGATCAGATCCTCAGTTCGTGCATTCCCTGGGAATACATGAGAAATATTTATCATTGAATGACCTTCAAATGCGCTGAGAAAAGTAACAGGTATAATATGTTGCATTCCATATAAAGGCTTTGGGGAACTGAGGTAAGTTTAAGTGTCATTAAAAGCATCACATAGCAAACTGTCAATAGTATGTAAGCCATACACATTTCCTGCTTCTGTTAATGTTTGCATTCACTACATTTTTTTCTCACTTAGTCAATATATGTAATTTATATGGATTGGATTTCTAGGGGTCATGGATATCAGGATGCAACGAGAAGAGGCATCAGCTCAGGAAGTGTTCAGCTATGCCCAGATGTCCACCCTGGAGCGAAACAGTGGGGTAGGAACGCTGAGTCGGCATCTGGAGCGGGAGAGGTTGGAGAGAGACAGCTACACAGTGGATGTCAGGGCCAGTGACCTGCAGTTGGATCAGCCTGGGCCATTACATCCCTGCTTTAGCTACAGAGTCTGGCTTTACAGCATCGTTATAGGGGTAACAGCTTTGACTCAGCAGATTTTCACTCCTGTTGCTAAGAGACTTTGCTAGAAATGTACTCACTCTCAGGCTATCCAACATGTAGATGAGAATGTTTTTTCATCAGAACAGATTTAGAGAAATTTAGCATTGCATCATTTGCTCCAATGGATCCTCTGCAGTGAATGGGTTCCATCAGAAAGAGAGTTCAAACAGCTGATAAAAACATCACAATAATCCACAAGTAATCCACATGACTGTAGTCCATCAATTAACATCTTATGAAGTGTAAAGCTGCATGTTTGTAACAAACAAATGCAACATTTAAGTGTCTTTAACTACAAACTGTTGCTTCCGGCAACCTTTGTCCATAATATTGCTTTTTCCAGTGAAAAAGTCACATTTTCTGAATCAGGAGAGAAATATGCACAGATCAAGCACATTTATGAGCGAAAACAGTCCAAAACAGTTCTAAACAAATATGTTGGTGGATTTTGAGAGATTATTATGGACTGGTATTTCAGCCAGAAGTTAAAACCCCTTAATGATGGATTTGTTTCTGGCATGCAACGTTAATTGATGGATTCCTTGTGGATTATTGTGATGTTTTTATCAGCTGTTTGAACTTTCATTCTAGTGGCACCCATTCACTGCAGATGATCCATTGGTGAGCAAGTGATACAATGCTACATTTTTTCAAAATCAGTTCTGATGAAGAAACTTAACTAGATATTGGATGGCCAAGATTTTTCATTTTTCATTTTTGGGTCAAATATTCCTTCAACACACTGATTTTCTCAAATGTCTGAGCGTGTTCATTTGTATCTGACCCCCAGAGCAGCTTGCTCATAGTGGCAGCTTTCTCCCTCTACATGGGTAATGTGTTTCCAGATGCAATGGACTACCTGCGTTGTACTGCTGGATCTGTGAGTGTTTGTCCTGAAGGACTCATATGCTTATGAAAGAGGCCACTGGACCGTTTGACACTCGTATATGTTTTGCTTCTGGTTTGTAGAGTATACCAGCTGCAGTGGTGAGCTTCACTATTGCCAAAAATAGACAAGTTGCAGTAAGTGAAAGGATATTTTTTTGTAATATTGTATTACACACACAGCTATTAAGCTGAACAAACCAAGTAATCAAACACTTTCAACTAAAACATTACCTGAGTTTTAAAAATTCTTTAATGGAATAAGTGGTTCTCTAACTTTGTCCAAGACATTATTCGAAAATGTAGTCAAACACTATTAATCAGTCAGGTTTTCAGTTCATAGGGCTATAAATCATAGTGTTTTCTATTTGGTGGTATATATTTAGTGTTGCTAAATGTGTTTAAATGCTGTATAATCACCTTAACAGAGATGTTAAGAACTTATTGTTGTTGAGATGTTGAGAACTGATTTTTTTTTCTTTCTGGCAGATAAATATTTCTTTACTGTTTTACAAATTACAGTGTGTAACCTACATTATGTTTACAGGTCTCTGACTTTCAAATGGTGTATGTGTCGTCCTTTGCTGTGACAACCACGTGTCTGGTGTGGTTCGGTTGTAGACTCGCCATTAGTCCCTCAGCCATCAATGTGAGCCGTCACAACTCTAATACCCCTAAAATGTCTGTCAGGGACCCTAGAAATATGTCCTTCAAAATGAAATGCTTTGGCTCAAGTCTAGTATAATGTATAATATGACAATGGCAAAGCAAAAGTTATTTTAAAGGATCTGGTAGAAGTATGTTTATACGTTTACAGTAGAAGTAAATACACTGCATGGTTACACTTGTAACGATGCTCAAACACTAAACTATAATGTGCATGTAAAACATCTGTACTATTAAAACAGTTACTGCTGTCTTGTCATCCTAAAGATTAACTTTAACCTGCTCCTGCTTATTGTGCTGGAAGTGCTCACGGCCAGTACTGTCATCCTATCAGCACGCTCAGTGGACGACTGCTGCAGTCATGGAAAGGTGTGTGTGTCTGTGTGTGTGTGAGAGTATCTACTCTACCATTTACTGTATGTGTATAGACTGCCTGCATTACAATTATTTTGGCCTGTGTTTACACAAATTGTGTTATCAATCAGGAAATGAATATTATATTAACAAATAATTATCTAGCATCTTTCATAATGAATTTTGTCTGTTTGATGGAAATTGAGATTTCTGAATTGATTCGTATATTTTTGCCTGTAATATCTTGCCTTCATTTTTTAATAATACAATGTGATTAAAAAAAATCTTAATAATGCAAAATGTACTTGTCTTTTTTTAAGCTTTCATTTCTAATTTTTAGATTAGAAGATTTTTTTTATGGTTAAGTTTTTCAGCTAATATTTACATTTTGTTTTATTTTAATTTGCAAAATAATTGCAAAATAATTTTATGCTAACTGTGATGAAGTGTGATATATCTATGACTAACTGAATTTGTCTCTAGCTTATATGAATTACATTTTATATGCTCATGTCTCTCTGCTTTTTCTTTTCCTCGTTGCTATCATTCATCTCATTCCTCCAGCCAGTGTCTGATGGCCCTGTGGTTGTGACCCCAGCTTCGTTCCCCACTCGTCTTCTCAAGGCTTACGCCGTGAGTTGCATTCAAATGAGATTGTGTGTATGCACTGTATATCAGCATGACGGTTACTGTAGATTTGCTGCTCTTTCTCTGGTGCAGGTAATTGAGGTTATATTGGGCATCTCCACTGTATTTGGAGGAGTTATTGCTCTCAATTTGGGTGCTCTCCTCCCAGAGCCATATCTTTCTGTCACTTTCTTCTGGATTCTAGTAGCTGTGAGTTCAGTTTATTATATTAAATATTAGTTCAATTCAGATTATAAATTATTCAGAGTGATTAACTATCATTGTTTGTGTGTGTGATATCTCGGCAGTGTTTCCCCAGTGCCATTGCCAGCCATGTGGTGGCAGAATATCCCAGCAAGAGTCTGGTGAGTCACCATCAGGGTCTCTCCAGCAATAAAGCAGTGTAATCGAATGTCCCTAAAGGACATTCACCATTCTCACTCATTTAGCTGTCTGTCTGCCTTCTCTGTAGAGTGATTCCCTCTAAAGACAGTCTCTTGCCTTCTTTTTTCTCTTTCTTTTCGCCTTTCAATTTGACTGCTGTAGGTGGAAATGCTGATTGCTATAAGTAGTGTGACCTCACCACTGCTTTTCTCAGCTTCTGGATTTTTGTCCAACAGTGTGATTAATTTTATTGAGATTTTTCTGCATGATGTGCCATTAGCAAAGGTGAGTCATTTCTGTGCACCACACCAATCAAATTAAAGTAGTTCCAATATGTCCGATTTTGACCTTTGTGGCTCCTTAAAGGGATCGCTCATCCAAAAATGAAAATTGTTAACTAAAACTAAAACTATTAATGTCAGAAAATTTAAATATCTGATATAAATATGTTGAAGAACAGAAATAAAAACTAATTAAAGCTATATAGAAAAACAAAACTTATAAAAAGGACAAAACCACAAAAATGACTAAAACTCAAATTAAAATGAAAACTGAAAATCTAAAAATAAATGTTAATTCAAAATATTAATAAATACAATAATAGCATATAATAGTACTATTAGGGATGTGCATCTCCAACTGAGGCTGATGCGACTCGCATCTCCATGCATAGCCAACGATACGATACATTAAAGATACATATGAAGCAGCTACCGATGCAGTGCAATCTGATTTCGATTCGATTCAACACAATGTGATTCAATGCAATACAATGCAATGGAAAAAAATATGATGCTATGGAATTCAATATGGTACAGATAGTACTTTCTAATTAATAAAAGTATAGTGCATCTACTAATAATTATATAAAAATAAAACGTTTTTCACTGATGCAAATATGTTAGAAACGATGCATTGCGATACAAATGCCAACTTGTATCCGATGCACACTTGAACTTTTATGCCAATGCGAATCGGTGAATCTTACCATCCCTATATACTATACTGAGCAGAATAATGACACTATTGTCTTTTTGGATCTGCTTTACAGCTGAACTTGTATTTGTTTCATAATTGAAGAACTTTGCAACATTAATCCTGTTCATTTCTTTTCTTTTTTTCAAAGCTATTGTATGGCTTCAGAAGACTTTCATTGTATTGTTTTATATTTTTTGTAGCCATCGTGAGGTGCATGAATTGAATTAGTTTTTAATTCCCTTTTTTAAGTTGTATTAATATTGGTATGTGCTTTTATCTTTTTTTTATTAATTCTATTTAGCGTTAATTTATTTTAGTCATTTTAGTACTTCACCTTGTTCATTTCAGTTAGTTGCCAAGGCAACATTTCTTATTTTCATTTTTCTTTTGAACTTCCTATCCATCAAAGAATCCTGAAAAAAAATTATCTCCGTTTTTAAAGACGAATTAAGCAGCACAACTGTTTTCAACATAGATAATAATAAGAAATGTTTCCTGAGCACTAAATCAGCATATTAGAATCATTTCTGAAGGATCATGTGACACTGAAAAATTCAGCTTTGCCATCGCTGTAAATAAATGAAATTTTTTAATATATTAAATAGAATACCGTTATTTTGGATTGTAATAACATTTCATAATATTGCTGTTTTTACTGTATTTTTAATCAAATGAATACAGCTTTGGTGAGCATGAGAGTTCTTTCAAAAACACTTTTAAAAATCATACTGACCCCAGATTTTTGAACGTTATAGTGTATGTCTGTCAAAGATATTATTGAATGACAATTTAGTAAGGAAAAGAATCAGCAAGTCAAAATGTGTGGTTGGTTTTGAAAGTCTTTTGTAAAGATCCTTACTTGTGTCACACAATCATGAATATAGCCTACCAGACCAGTTTGAAATTAGAATCATATATGATGAGTGAATGGCTGAGCAAATTTATATGCAAATAAATGGTGAACACACCATGCATGTACAATCTATAGCACTTGTAATGCATTATCTAGAAACCCCACATGTCAGAAGCTGGAAGAGTAGAGGACCTAATATACAGTATGATGCTTTTAATAATTCTAATACACTTTGGACCATATTACTGTTCAATGCCTTGCTGCATGCAACAATTTTTACTTTGTTAGATTTTATTTTTGTATAAATATATGAATCTTGTGATGTTATTGTAGATCAATAAAATGTAAAAGATTGTTTATGTGAAATGTGAATTACTTATTCCAGAAAGTGACTCAACAGCAAGATGTTATGAAATAGCAGAAGGGATTAAATAAACACTACATTTACATTTTACATTTACATTTTAGTCATTTAGCAGACGCTTTTATCCAAAGCGACTTACAAATGACGGCAATAAAAGCAGTCAAATCTAACAAAAGAGCAACAATAAGTGCAAATGACAAGTCTCGGTTAGCCTAACGCAGTACACGTAGCAAGGTGTGTATATATATATATATATATTATACACACACACAAAAAGAAAAACAAGTAGATAGAATATAAAAAATAGAAAGCAAGTGTTTTTTTGTTATTTTTTAAAATAAAGAATAAAAAATAAAAAAAGATAAATATAGATAAAGTAGAATTAAAATAGAATAGAAAGTGTTAGAGTTAGAGGGTCAAATAAAGGTGGAACAGATGTGTTTTTAGTCGTTTCTTGAAGATGGTTAAGGACTGAAAGTGAAAGTGATTTTGTGCCTCTTTGAGATGGCACAATAATACGCCGTTCACTTGCAGAACGCAAGCTTCTAGAGGACACATAACTCTGAAGTAACTACATAGCTAATGTACTAATCTTGCTGTAGTATATAAAAAGTATTTCCATACAGCAATACAGTTATGGGATAAAATGCTCCTATAGCTGCCTCACAGCATCCGCATCCTTTGTTTTTTGGGGGGGGGATCTGTTAGTCGTTGTGGGGAGATATTTCCTGATGTCGATGATTTGAGCATCGGATTCAGGCTCTGCGTGTTCCTCAGTATAATCGAGTAATCTGACAGGTATGTGACATCATGAAGATTAGAGTCATAGCAATCCAATCCTCCGTCTCTTTTTTTCACTCATGTCGTATATAGTATCGTATATTTCATCAAATATATGTCTTAAGCCGCTATGTGTCATCCTAGCCAGATGATCCAGTGATGGACAGCTCCTCGACCGAGCGTAAGTGATGTGCACCGCATGACCTTTATTGCTTTTTAAACATTTACTGTCAGAATGTCAATATGTCGGCGGTGTCGTTACAGCATTAAAGCTAGATTATATCTGAGGGTGTTTTACCTTAAAAGATACTACTGCATGCTGTTGCATTAAGTTTGCATGACACATTCCTAATCATTGTCAACTTGTTTGAGAGCTTTATCAAACCTGCTGTGAAAGGAGTTTTCAGTCTTCTTTCTAGTGTCTCTTAGAGGGTCTCTATTATCCCTAACTAAGCCAAAGTGACAAATACAAGCTTAATCTGTGCTTGGCATAAGTCAATAATTAGTGTCTTATATCAGCACATACTGTATTTAAGATTGGCAGCACCAATTGTAATAATTTAAAAGCTAAATATTGAAAAACATATCAGTCAATGACAAATGATAATATTGACCTCAGTGGCTATGGTTTATATGTAACAGGGTGCAATGTATTTTATCTACCATATGAATGATACTCAACCAGTCTAGGTGCATGGTAACAGGATTTTTCAACCACATTGAAAAAAAAAAGAACACTTTTTTTTTTACTTTAATGCAGATGGAGTGAGGGTACTGGTCAACATCCAAAGAAATATAATATTACCCAAAGATAATTAACCTTGCATTTAATACAAACAATTATTTATGTTACAGGTTGAATATGAATTAAATGTAATTAAATATTTATTTTTTATTTTTTTTAAATCAAAACAAATTTAGATATTTGTTTGGCTTTTTGCATTTATTAAATATTTTAATAAAAACCTATATTAATATTATTATTTAGTTGCATAAATAAAACCAAGCACACCAACTTTTTGTATGTCACAACAGTTCACTACCTTCTTTGCCACAGCTCTGACCATAAAGACATTGTTTAGTTAAAATTTTAGATAAACATAAAACATCTATAGTCATTCAGTTGAAAAACTGATGTACTTTATCCCAAAAATAAAGTTAACTTACGAGCGTGGGGTTCCTGCCATTTTTGTTGCTCTTTCCATTTGTTAGAAAGCCGTTCCTTATTGATTTCTTGAGCTCAAAGCGAGATATATAGATTTTCAAAATGTACAACAGCTATTTTCTTGTCTGTGTTTTTATACTGTGGGCAAAGACGCTCTGCAACATATTAAGCTTCCATCTGTAGTTCAGAAATAATGCCGTAAAACTTTCCAATGAGATAAAGAACAACAGTGTACCATCTTTGTAATCTAATCTGGACTGTCTTGAATGATTCAACCTCTAGTAGGATGTCATTGTGTCTTTTTGTCCTTGTCACTATTGCACGCTCTCAAAAGACTCTGCAGATAAGCACACTCCACTGGTTACTTAATTAAAGGAACATGCACTTTCATAGAGTCTGAACATGCAGCCAGAAACAAATGCAATTTACTTTTACAGTTTACACTAACTTTACAGTTTTACAGTAGCTTTACTTTTTCTTGATAGTCAGTATCTTTTAACTCTCTTGTTCATTTACAGGTTTTTGCAGAAGTGGAATAGATATGATGAGAAATTCATCCCAGCTGTCAATATAAGCAACAAATCTACTCTGATTTTCCTCTCTTCAATCTACCTCTGACAAGATCAGCCATCAATAACCCATCAAAGCTGACCACAAAGCTTCCTTTGTGACTCTTAGAAGATCCACTTTCATCCTTCAAGTCAACACCTCTTACATATAACTCATATTATTGTTGCAGGGAAAAGCCCTCAGCCAATCCAGTGGCTGACGGGTTGGGAGAAGGAGGAGGAGCTTCAGGTCCCATCAGGAGTGTTGTGAGTTTAGTGGCGAGCAGGCTGCTGGTGCCGAATGCAGAACATCCTCGAGCAGAACTTGGACATGGCCACGGCTCTGCTTGCGGGTGAGAAGTTGAAGGAGTTGATCCTGCCGGGTTCCACACAGGATGAGAAGGGCGGTGTACTGGCGGGTCTCATGGTGCAACTCAAACTAGAGTTGCCTTTTGACCGGGTCGTCACCATAGGAACTGTCATCATCCCTATATTGCTGGTCACATTAGTTTTCACACGGAACTTTGCAGGTTAGTGGTGTTACACAGCATTATCTAGACAAATAAACACCTTAGTTTGCAGTTTGCAGTGAGAATGAGCAGTGACATGGTGATAGTAGTCAAAAATCTGAGTAAATTATTCAGTCACGTGACTTTCTGATGGACATCTATTTAATTTATTTGGTACACGCATTTCCATCAGTTTATGCACTTCTTACCAATTTAAAACTTTATCCACCTCATAGATAGATCAGGATTATTATAGTTAACTAAAACTCAAATTAAAGCTTAAACTAAAAAATAAAAAAATATATAGTATATATAAAATATAAAAAAAACCTTATACCTATTTTATTTCAGCTATTCAGCATTTCTCATTTTAATTTCGTTTAACGTGATATTAAAATGGTACTAAAATAAATAAAACTAGAACTGAAATAAAATTTCATAAAAACTATATAGACATTAAAAATAACACAACACACAAATTTCTAAAACTAAAATGAAATTGTAAACAGAAAATATAAAAATAAAAACTAATCTCACTTAAAGATTAGAGATCACTTAAAGATCTCACTTAAAATAACACAAGCCTAAAAAATGTTATGTGCATATTCACATTGACGTTTTTCCATTCAGTATTTTTAATGCAAAATTCTAAAATTTTCATAAAAATGTGTGGATGTAAGTAAATATGCTTAGAGCAAACACCCTTTATACATTTGAAAAATTAATGATATGGCATAAAATGTTAAATCAGTAATGTTACACATCATGAATGGCACTAGTGACAGAGTGACAGATGTTAGTTTTATTTAAGTTGAGCCATTATTAACCACTCTATGGGACTTTCTATATTCCTGCGGTCCACTGCTATCCAGCAAATGAGTGGTTAAATAATTTTTGCTAGAGAGATTGTGGGGTAATTAAGTAGGAAAAGAGAGAGAGAGAGAGATAAAGAGAGGTTGTGGTGGTAGGAGGGGGTTTACTCTGAATGCTGAGTCAGTCTTACTGCATAGCAGCACAAACTGGCTGTGACTGAACATTGAGAACCCTGCTGGGCAGAAACATGCAGTATAGTTTAAATCTGAATAAATGTTGGAGATACACTAACATTTATGCTTAGGAAGGTTATAGTAGGAACTCCTTTGAGACTGCAGCTAAATTGCTTTTCCATATCATTTGAGGTCTACTACATTGCAGTAATTGTTTCTGTAATAAGAATACTTATTATATAGCAGGAATGAGGATTAGTGAAGCTTTAATCGTTGTGTTGGCTGAGATTGATTTGAATCAATCTGAAACGTAAAAGTACTGAAAGAAAAGGTAGAGCCTGTAACCATAAAGATTTTATTCCATCTAGACACACCAAATATAACATACACAAATGTGCTTTAGTAAACTAGAGCTTATGACAATATTACCTTTCTTAACATTATTGATTCTGTGCAGGAGTGTAATGCACTGAGACCCAGAATAAGGTGGAGGCATCTATAGGAGTTACAGCAGCTGTGAAAGAATTACCTCTACATTTGTCCAACTGGCACAGACAAATGTAGCATTTGTTTTATCACTGATTCATCATTATTGGCCTGTGCTGCCTTATACTAAGCATTAAACCCATTCCAACCTGATGACAGCTCGTTTCTAGAAACAAATCCCCGCTGGGTACACCAATTGCCAGATTTTCCTGGATAGAGACAGTTGTAATATCCAGTGTTAATTTTTACACAATTTTAGTTGCAGTATTTCATATTTTAATGAGAATATCCTTTAAATGTAGTCAATATTGCATCATATCATATTCCTTAAATTGATTTTGACTGAATTGCACTGTCAAAAAAAATAACAATGTAGTTGATGAAATTAAAATCTCTACTGTTAACATCAAGAATAATAATTGTAACTATAAAAGTAAGTATATTGGTGTCAGTGTTATATTAGTATTATTTATTTACTATAATATTTTTATTATTTTTAGCTAGCTTTTTATTTTTTTTATGTGTTTTTGTTATTTTTATATTTTTAAAATATTGCTATGAATTTTTATTTCAGTTCAGTTTTAGGTTTTATTTATAGTAATTTTAGCTCTTCAACTTGAATTCTGGTCGGTTGTCAGTATTTTATTGTCGATCAGCTGGAAAAAATAGCTCTGAAAGTGATTCCAGCCCAATTGTTCCTTTGTGTCATTATCGTTATAGCTGTGGTATGAACTTCACTATCGTCTTATAATTAAATTATTTGAACTTTATAGTTACATGTATCATTCTTGGAATGAACACTAGTGGTATCTAATTGATGGCTCTTCAGAAATCCTAAATATTTGGTGAAGTGGGATTTTCATGATTTTCCTTCTCTTTTAGAGGAATCTATATATTGCTACACCCCACACAACTTCACACGCGACCAGGCCCTGTATGCCAGAGGCTACTGCTGGACAGAGCTGCGGGATGCAGTGCCTGGAGTCGACCCCCAGCTTCGGCCCTCCTTGTTTGAGCACAAGTTTCTGCCCTACGCTCTGCTGGCCTTCGCAGGCATCATGTACATACCTGCCCTGGGATGGGAGTTCCTGGCCTCCACTCGACTCACCTCTGAGCTCAACTTCCTCCTTCAAGAGATCGACAACTGCTACCACAGGGCGGCCGAAGGCAGAGCCCCCAAGATTGAGAAGCAGATCCAGTCCAAGGGGCCAGGGATTACAGAACGTGAGCGGCGGGAGATCATCGAGAACGCAGAGAAGGAGAAGAGCCCCGAGCAGAACCTGTTTGAGAAGTATCTTGAGCGCCGCGGGCAGAGTAACTTTCTGGCTAAGCTGTATCTGGCGCGACATTTAGCCATCATCTGCCTCAGCTCAATGCCCATAACGTACCTGAGCACCTACTACGCCCGTCAGAGGCAGAACGAGTTCACTTGCGCGCTTGGCGAGCCACCGGACACTAGCAGCATCCCTGAACTGCGGCTGAATGTTAACTGCAAGCTACCAGCCGTGCAGCTCCAGCGCATTATGGCCGCAGTGGACATTGCTTTGCTGTGTACTATGAACCTCATTATCCTTGTGAACTTGCTGCATTTGTTTGTAGTTCGGAAGTCAAATTTCGTCTTCGACAAGCTGCACAAAGTTGGCATTAAAACACGCCGGCGCTGGCAGAAGTCACAGTTTTGCGACATTAACATTCTGGCCATGTTCTGTAATGAGAACAGAGACCACATTAAGTCTCTCAACAGACTGGACTTTATCACCAACGAGAGTGACCTCATGTATGATAATGTGGTGCGGCAGCTACTGGCAGCGTTGGCTCAATCCAACCACGATGCCACTCCGACTGTGAGAGACTCTGGGATCCAGACTATTGATCCCAATATGGACCCCTCAGTGATGGGTGTGGGAGAATTGGGAGGAGAGCCCTCAGTAATCAAGAGACCCCGCAAGAAGATGAAGTGGATCCCCACATCTAACCATCTGCCACAACATTTTAAGGTAAGACATTCTCATTCATATTTAGTTGACGAATAGCTTGCTTGTCAAATGGTCCTTCTATTATTGAAATGTACCTCATATTTCTTTGTTTTTATACAGGAACCCTTGACTCTAACCAGACAGGAAAATAGTATAAAGGCAGACAAACCTAAACCAGTCCGAAGGAAGAATGTAGCAGATAGCATTATTGCTCCACTTCTGGACAGCAAGAGCACACAACATCCTCCTACTAACAAAGGTACTGGCATAGTAAAACCTGGTTTTGGTTAGTATAGCGAATGTCATTAAAATCCTTCACTGATCATGTTTACTTTTTTTCAGCTGCAGAAACAAATAATATAGAGAAGAAACACACTCTTAACCTCTCGCTTGATGTCCATCCTTACATGCTAACCATCCAGAAAGCAAAAACAGAAACGGTCAATCCTGAGCCACCCCCCATCGAGCACTCTCTCAGTAATGTGTATATTGAGGGTCCACATACAGTTGTCCATGTCTCCTCTTCTCATACTGGTATGCTTGGATTGTCTCTAGGAACGCACAATTGATTGGTGTCATATTAGAATTGTTAGAGTTTGCTGCAGGGATGGTGTATTTTTGTAGGCCAACCCGGAAGTTAGCATCACCCTTGTTCCCTTGACAAAAACCCAACAGGATTTTTCCATTTTCCATTATTGCAGAAAATAAGCTCTGTGACCAACAGAAGTTCATGATTCTTACATATTTTGTTCATTAAGGTAATCTTTACAAATGAATTCAACTTTTATGAATTTTGAAGTGTAAATGCAATCACCAGAAGTAAAAAGCCAAAGTTAGGCTACAGTATAAATGAACTACACCATGGTTGCATGACTTCAATGTCACTAAGCTTCCTACAACTCTTTCAAATCTTTATTTAAAATATACAAGTTGGAAAGTTTGAATTAGAATAGTTTGCAAGAGCACAAATATAAACATAATGAGGCTGTAAAAGCGGACTACCGAGTAGATGAGTTTTCCTGTTTGGTCTGATGACATCTAGATGTCTCACACTTCTAAATGTCTCAGACATCCGGATGTCTTCTATTGTCCCATTTAGCCACTTATTACACTTCTTGCATTTTTCAAGACACATAAAAGCCTAAAAATCATGAGGTGGTATTACTGGTGCATTTTATGCCATAGAATAAAACATGAAAATATCTTGAGCCTGTGTTAACCACAGACCCTATTTCAGTCATTAAAAAAAAACATTGATTTTGGGATGATGGAACTGGAAGTGCAAAAATGCTTTTAGATTAGAGTTTTAGGACTCCATTCCTGCAGTACTCAATTGCACATTCAATAGATTGCCCAATTTTCCCCTATTTTTACAATTTTCCTAGTTTTACATGACCTTTGCCTCATCTAATTCACACACTTAAGCTTATTTTAAGTTAATATTTAAAAACCGTAATAATTTGATAACACAGATGTTTTGTTAAATCTTTACCAAATCTCAAAATGAATTCCATTTTTCCTCTGTACATTAAAATTATGTGATGCATAAATTGACCTGTAGGCTTTAAAATAATTGATTTTAGATTTAGTGTTTTTTTATTATTATTGTTTATGTAGACAAAATTGCATTTTAATATCAGACATAAAACAATGTGTATTGGTTTATATTTGTATTTCTGATAATTCTATATCCCATTTGTCCCCTTAGAGAAGAAAGAATCTCCTCCACTGTTGACCACCACTGCCTTCTCCACAGCCACCCTCTCCACAACGTCATATATGAATGGTGAAGCGACCAGCATGCAACCTCCAGACTCCCCGAAGGTCAAAGATCCTCTCAACCAAGGAACAGAGCCTGAGAGCCAGCCCGGGCCTTTTAGTCGAAACCCCTCACACCCGCTGCTGAGCATCCATCACACCTTGTATGAGGATGAGGAGGAACAAAACAGAAGGGACAGACTAGCCAGACCGGGCGAGTTGATTGCTGCTGGAGAGTGTTGAAGAAAAATGTAGATACACACCTGCACAAAAACACACACACACACACACACACACAAATGCAAAAGCACTTAAAAAATGAACTGAAGTACAAAGGAATATGCCGGTTTTTAGGGTTATGTTAATGGTTTTGCCATTATGAGTTGAGCTCAGATTATTTCATTTTCAGAGATGAAGTTTATGGGACATTGGGGCAGCCAGTGTTTAACATATTTTATACTCTTAAAGGTGCACTTAATTATTTATGTTTATGTTAAACGGGAGTTTTCAATTACTGGTGGGTTATTAAAAACACTATTAGATTTCTTTGTGTAAAAATAAGTGCACCTTTCAAAATCATCTCCCAGCCTTACATCCACATATTTGGACGTGTGTAGTTTGAGGGAAAATAAAATCACCCATGACCTTGGTGCTCACCATATGGGTTAATGAGTTCCCTATGAGATTCCAAATGAAGGCAAGGCACGTCAGAATTTTGCACAAAGCACCATTTGTTCCTGTATCATCAATGTCTACATGGTTTTGTGTTGTTTTTCGCAATCAACGTCTGTTTCATATAGATGTCTTGAGGTATCCAGCGCAATACATGTATTCTTAAAATATGCAACCTCATGTTTTATTGTCGCAATAATATGCACATTTGGAATGTATATACTGAGCTGTACAGAAAAAAAATCTGATAATATAAGAGATTTTAGACATTCTTTTATTTAAAAGACTGTCACATGGCGTTCATCCACAAACCTCTGGTGCACTTATTTAATGAGACAATATCACTCTGGGTCTTTGGGTCAAGTGCTCAAAGACATTCATCTCCAGATTGTCAGAAAAAAATATGGATCCTTATACCAGCTTTTTTGAACAGACAGAGTTGTGGCAGAAAGATTTCAGCTTCTTCAGCTGGACATTTTCAAACTAAAGAGGATTCATAAAACATGCTTTTGATACCTAAATCACCATGAACCAGTTTGTGTAAGTAGCATTCCACCTTTGTAAATCCTAGTTAAAAACCATTGATATTCACTTATGCATTTTGTGGTGAAGTATAACAAATGCCCTGCCAAAACACACTTTTGTGATTGTGAGTGAATACAAGAATCGCACAATTAGAATCTAAGAGCACCTCTAACCACAAGGCATGAGATTGATATTAGCGATAGCTGCTGCAGCTCACTGTTTTTCTAGCACATATCATGCAAGTGCAATATTGATAATGATTATGTGATACAGGGAACACAGATCATGAATGACAATACCATTAGAGGGGAAGGAACTACACATGATTTTCCAGGCTTGACTTTTTAGATGAGAATATAATTTGATGGTGTTATGGGTGCTAATCTCAAACTTAAAAATCTTAATGGCATTCGGCCTTTGAGCCAATATGTTAAAATGGGGTTAGACAAAGTATGTTTAAAAACAAAAAAGTCATGGCCATGTTACCTTATTTATTTTGTTCTTGCGTTTAGGGGAAACATTGGAAATGAATATTTGTTTTGTAGTGCCATTTCATTTTTATTTTTTATGCCACAAATTATTGACAAATGTTTGTGTTTAATATATGTGTATTTATGGAACTGCAGCATTTCAACCAAGTAACCTGCTTAGAAAAATAAATTAATCTATGCCAAAAAGAGAAAATGTTAGATTATCACATGGGTTGTATACTGCATGTTCAATAGTTAATTAAACTCATGTTACATAATTTACATGGGGTGGGGGGACATGAGTTTGAATCACCTAGTCTGTCTTGCACAGGTCAGCCCTTTATCTTTTTTTTAGCCTCTCTCTAATGTGTATGTTTCATGAGATAATTCTGTTATAGGTGAACCTCAGAAAGAGTTGTATAAGGTTCACAATGTTGTAAAATTATGTAAGCAATTTTCAATATCATTCATAAAATGCTTACTACCTCATAAACACTGAAACAGTCCCACATAAGCTCTGTTAAAATTATTCATCATTTTTAGCCAATCAGAAACAACTTTTTTGGGGGGGGCTTGCTGACATCACATTGGTTATGATGGCGGTCATCACCAGGGTAATGAATTGTAGTTTCCATAATAAACATATTGTTTTAAAACTTTGTCTGCAGTTACTATAATATCTGAATGACAAGGATAAATTGCACTTAACAAATTACTTAATTTTAATTGACCAATGTAATCTGTTTTAAACAAAAGATGTACTTCAGCTGAACAAAATTTCTCTTTTTTTACAACAAAAAAGAAATAACAGTTTTTGCAGGTTTTAACCGTGTTTTGTTTCAGAAAGTATAAACGTCAAAGTAGTCTACTTTTTAAGTATTTTTTCATGTTACAAAATGACATGTAGCTATGCATATAAAACTTACAGAAGATACAGTTTACATTACAATAGTTCACTTTAAAACAGTTTAACAGGGTAACATTTAAATTAAACTTCTTTAATTTTGTTATATAGATATAACAAATATGTACTGTATATATATATATACAGTGGGTACGGAAAGTATTCAGATCCCCTTAAATTTTTCACTCTTTGTTATATTGCAGCCATTTGCTAAAATCATTTAAGTTAATTTTTTTTCCTCATTAATGTACACACAGCACCCCATATTGACAGAAAAACACAGAATTGTTGACATTTTTGCAGATTTATTAAAAAAGAAAAACTGAAATATCACATGGTCCTAAGTATTCAGACCCTTTGCTCAGTATTTAGTAGAAGCACCCTTTTGATCTAATACAGCCATGAGTCTTTTTGGGAAAGATGCAACAAGTTTTTCACACCTGGATTTGGGGATCCTCTGCCATTCCTCCTTGCAGATCCTCTCCAGTTCTGTCAGGTTGGATGGTAAACGTTGGTGGACAGACATTTTTAGGTCTCTCCAGAGATGCTCAATTGGGTTTAAGTCAGGGCTCTGGCTGGGCCATTCAAGAACAGTCACAGAGTTGTTGTGAAGCCACTCCTTCATTATTTTAGCTGTGTGCTTAGGGTCATTGTCTTGTTGGAAGATAAACCTTCGGCCCAGTCTGAGGTCCTGAGCACTCTGGAGAAAGTTTTCGTCCAGGATATCCCTGTACTTGGCCGCATTCATCTTTCCCTCAATTCCAACCAGTCGTCCTGTCCCTGCAGCTAAAAAACACCCCCACAGCATGATGCTGCCACCACCATGCTTCACTGTTGGGACTGTATTGGACAGGTGATGAGCAGTGCCTGGTTTTCCCCACACATACCGCTTAGAATTAAGGCCAAAAAGTTATATCTTGGCCTCATCAGACCAGAGAATCTTATTTCTCACCATCTCACAACTCCATGCGGGCTTTCATGTGTCTTGCACGGAGAGTCTTCCGTCGGGCCACTCTGCCATAAAGCCCCGACTGGTGGAGGGCTGCAGTGATGGTTGACTTTCTAAAACTTTCTCCCATCTCCCGACTGCATCTCTGGAGCTCAGCCACAGTGATCTTTGGGTTCTTCTTTACCTCTCTCACCAAGGCTCTTCTCCCCCAATAGCTCAGTTTGGCCGGAC